ATTGAGAGAGAGAGAGAGAGAGAGAGAGAGAGAGAGAGAGAGAGAGAGAGAGAGAGAGAGAGAGAGAGAGAGAGAGAGAGAGAGAGAGAGAGAGAGAGAGAGAGAGAGAGAGAGAGAAGAGATGAGAGAGAGAGAGAGAGAGAGAGAAGATAAGAGAGAAGGGAGAGAAAGATAGAGGGAGATAGAGAGAGAGAGAGAGAGACAGAGACTGAGAGAAGAGGGGAGAGAGGGAGACGGGGGGGGGGGGGTATCCAAGAGAAGCCTCTTAGAATCTTGTTTATACATGTAATGAAGATTTTAACACTTTCAACAGCTTGCACAGGAATAAAACGTAATCTGGGATGATTTACCTTCATTAATTTTTACACACATACAAACACACACACACACACACAAAACGCACAGTGTGTGTGTGTATGTCTGTGTGTGTGGTGTGTGTGTGTGTGTGTGTGTGTGTGTGTGTGTGTGTGTGTGTGTGTGTGTGTGTGTGTGTGTGTGTGTGTGTGTGTGTATGTGTGTGTGTGTATGTATGTATGTATGTATGTGTATATATATATATTATATAATATATATATATATATATATATATATGTATATATATATATATATATTCGTATAACATCAATACATACACACCACCCACACACACACACACCATACACACAAACACACACGACATATATATATATATATATATATATATATATATATACAGTGACATGTGTGTGTGTGTGTGTGTGTGTGTGTGTGTGTGTGTGTGTATGTGTGTGTGTGTGTGTGTTGTGTGTGTGGTGTGTGTGTGTATGTGTGTGTGTGTGTGTGTGTGTGTGTGTGTGTGTGTGTGTGTGTGGTTGTGGTGTGTGTGTGCACACACACACACACACATACACTGACACACACATACATATATATATATGTGTGTGTATGCGTGTGTGTGCACACACACACACACACACACACACACACACACACACACACACCACACACACACACACACGCATATATACAACACCGCCCCTCCCCCCCACCCCCCCCGCAGGAGAAACCTCAGACTCGAGGGCGGCGTCGGAGTCCCAGGCCCGCCGCCAACCGGATATGGCTGGGCGGACACCAACACGTCTCGGACTTGCAGGTTCACTGTGTCACGTGGCTTTGTTTATAGTCTGGCAGTATAGACATATGTGTGTGGGGGGGGTGAGGGGGTGTGAGTGGGGTGTGGGGAGCGGGGGCTCGGGCATGGTTGGCCACGTACGGTCAAGGAGTGGGAGGTCCTTGTTGGGAGAAAGCACACCAACGGTCTGCCACTCTGCACTGGGTGTCTGGTGATCCAGGGGCGATGGGGTGTGTATGTTGTGTCTGTGCGGCCCCCCGCGTGGGTGTCGTCTGTGGTTGTAATGTGTGTCACGTGTGTGTGTGTGATGTGTGGTGTGTGTGTGTGTGTGTGTGCTGTGTGTGTGTGTGTGTGTGTGTGTGTGTGTGTGTCGTGTGTGTGGTGTGTGTGTTTGTGCTTGTGCATATAATTTCCAAAGATAATAGCATAGTAATAATGAATTATATTAACAATAATGATTAAAGTAGATGATTAATATAATAATAATAAATAATAATAATAATAATAATAATAATAATAATGAAATATATAATGATATTAATAATAATAATGAATTAATAGTATTATGATAAATGAATGTAAATATAGGGATGATGATACTACAAGGAGCATTAATAATACTAACAAAGATAACAATGAAATAAATAATGATAGATAATAATGCTAACAGTTAATAGTGATGATGCTAATGATAATAAAACAACAATTATAAAGGATATAACATGATGAAAAATTAAATATTTGGGATAAATTAATGAATTAAAATGATTTAAAAAATTTTGGGGATAATGATTAATAATAATAGTTGATAATGATGATTAATTAACAATAATAATAATGAATAATAATAATTGATGAATAACGACAATGATAATATTTGAATGATAAATAATAATAATAACAATAAATAAAGACAATAATAATAATATATAACAATAAATAATAATAATAATGAATGATAATATGGATGATGAATAATAATGAGGATAATAATGAATAATAACAATGAATAATAATGATAATAATAATAATAATAATAATAATAATAATAATAATAATAAATAATGATATATATAATAATAAATAATAATAATAAATAATAAATGGAATAAAATGATAATAATATTTAATAATGATAAAATAATAATAATAATAATATAACAGTAATAATAATTTGTAAATAATAATAATAATAATAACAATGAATAATAATAATAATAACATAATAATAATAATAATAATAAATGATAATAATAATAATAATAAATAATAATATAATAATAATAATAATAATAATAATAATTAATAATGATATATAATAATAATAATAATAATAACAAAATAATAATTAATAAATAATTGATAATAATAATAATAATAATAACAATA